AAGAATTTATTTCTTGATGTGTATATATATCATTATTCTACTCTTTTTCGGTATGCTAGAAATGATGTTGATAACTCCATCAAATAAATATGTCCATGGAAGAGAAATAAGGTGAAGTAGACTTGCATGATGATCATATTAAAGACCAATAATGATTTATCACCAAGTTTATAGTAAGCTTTTCACCTTACATGAAAACGATGATATGTTTTGGAGAATTTAGTCTAACTCAGATAACTCAACTGTAAGTATAAAATCTGTAATATGTTATAAATTATATGAAGAAACTTTCATGTCACCATTAAAATCAAATAACATTAAATCAGATTTACGATATATATATTTTGATACTATCTCGAAAATTTTTTTTGTATAATCTACAAAGACACTGTCCTCCGAATATCATAGAAACGTTGAGAGAGATTTATTGATGGTTTAATTCCCTAAAAAAAATTATTAATTTTTTTTTTATTGACTAACATCTGTCCGGTCTCTCATATACGCATCCAAATGGGTTATCTGCTGTCTTGTCTTCCGATGATGGGTGCATCTGCAGTTGTTGGTCCATAAATTAACGGTTGATCAAGGAGGCGATATGGGGCCCAATGACTCCGGCATTCAGCTTCCGATCACTGTCGTATAAAGAGACTATTAATTAATGCCTTTGCTCTGTCACATCTACTTCCCATTTTATTGGCATCTACAGTTGATTTGAGCGTTCCAACATAATCGAACCGCATGACCGTCTTCGGATCTCCAGTCGACGACAGGAGTACGATCATCGGAAAGTAATTTTTCGTTAATCATTTTGGGAAAACCAACTTCAGAATAAAGTTATGAAAGAACCATCAGATTAATTGGCCATTTCATTTACGTTAGATAATCATCATAAACATATATAATGACATTTTTTTTTTCTTTTGTATGATATTTCACGTACATCAAACATCACATACTTTTGGAACTATCTTCTAGTTTTGGAATAATATTATTTACAAAGTTTATTTGAAAACAAAAGAAGCAGCATTGATGGAAGAGGGAAAAAGCCTGGAATTGTCGTCTCATCATATTATTAGAGAACATTCACTTCAGTTTGCCGAAGCCATTGAAATCATCAAAACAATTTCTTGTCATCGTATCATAGATATTCATAATAATCTATTGAGTTTTCCAGTAATTAATATTTATAATCTTTATGTATTTCTCCTCTAATAATTTTTGTTCTGGTTCGATGTAATTACAGTAAGGTCTATAGTTTTGCTGCCCAAAAAACTCATTCTAGCTCGATCAAGATGTGCAAGTGCTCATCATTCGTGCATGTTCTACGAGATCTCGAAGATCAAGAAAGGAATAACTTGTGCTATGCAACTTGGGATTCAGAAAGGTTCTTCAATTTTGGTTAGTCTCTGGAAGGAGCACTTCGCCTTGGAGGAGAATCATTGTTCATCTATCCAGGAAACATTTTTTCGTGAAGGGAATCAGATTGCAAACCATTTTGCTAAGTTCGCAGGGGATAACAAATTCTTGTAAATCCTCCTCCTGAGTTGGATTTTTTTGGTTTGGTATGATGTTTTGTTTCACTTTAATTCCTATTTTAGTTTATCTAATAAAAATAAGTATAAGTGCTTATCAATTGAGTTTTCTAATAATAAATATGTCATGCCTCCAAATCGTTAGATGTGACGATCCACCAATAAACATGTGCTAAATAATTTTAATTTTAATTTTAATTATATATATATGTATATGTATATATATGTATATAGTCTAATTTTAATTATATATATGTATATATATACACACACACAAAAGTCTAATTTCAAATGAAAAATTGTACATATTATAATTAGAATAATGATAAATATTATATATAAATATGAAGAACATTATACAAAAATGATGAAAATATTATTCTATCAAGAAGAATTATGTAACTATTTCACATCATTTGAATTTAAACACATTTTTTTTCTTTTTACATCAATGCTTTTAAGTGTCTTATAATGTAAAATTCTCTTTTGAGGAGGCACATGAAACACCTCCAATCCTGAATCAACAACACATGTAGTTGAGTTACCTATACAGCCTTGTAGGGAGGGGATGCACTAAAAAGTGGACAGGTCTCCTTCATAGGACTAAAGAGTAAGCAACAATTTAAGATACATGCATTAAGCTTTAAATATATTAACACAACTAACAACAACACATCGATAAAAGAAATAAATACACTAAATTAATATGCATAAAACTAAAAATATGTTTGTATTGAAATGTTAATGTATTTTTTTTATTTTATATTGTACGTATATCATATACCATAAACTTGTTTCTGTTTTTTTAGAAAATAAAATAACTAATATTCAAGCATGTATTAAGCCTAAGGAAATCAACCTTACCGTTTACATTAGATCACCTAATGACGATTCGATTCCAAATCAAATTGAACTAAAACCACGACGATAAAGATTTATCGATTCTAAATCAAATCAAAATTGGCCTTGGTTTTGGGAATCTAAATCGACGTCTCCGTTTGAATGAATGATATTCTGATTCGAACCTATGTTCCAAGATTAAAAAAAAATAAAAACAAAATGTTTCACACATTTGATTAGGCATCCATCACACTCTCTTAAGCTCTCTAATCCTTCTCTTAAGGTCTCCCTCCTTAATTTCGAATCTCGGATCATAAACAGACGAAGATAGAGAAACAAAAATAAGATATCATTCGTGAATATAATGATTACTTTTTTTTTTACCTATTAACTAAAGGAACAATTAACACTAGAAGTGATAGATAATTTTATAATTTTACTCTTTTTTATATCATTAGATTCATCATACATCCGTTTTTCAAATCTTCAAAATAAAATAATGAATTTTATCATGTTGTAAATTATTTTTAATTAAAAAGTAAAAAAAATGATAGTTTGAACCAAAATTGATCCTATGTGATTCAATTTTAGTTCCTAAATTTTATCATCCAAATGTGTATTTCTTGCAGTTCGATAGTACATTAATCTTGATAATTATCTAATAATATACTTTCTCTTTAATTTGTCCTACAAAACTATTATTGAGTATCACTCATATTATCTCATTATTGTCTTCCTACTTATGGACTTAAACATCATCCCTTCACTTATCTGAAGATATACAAATTCTTGCAATAGTGTATAATGAATCACTGGAAACCAACTTAAAAATATAAATATATTGCATGTCAAATAATTATATAAAAAAATGGACCTTTCAAGAATGATAAATAAATTCATATATGCAATATGTATGGATGAAAAAAAAAAAAAGTTTAAATAAATAACATGACATGACACAATCAATATGATAAAAGATATTAAGGTTAGGTAATTGCAAGAAAACAAATAAATGGTAACATATCATGATATTCAATCAGTCCAACAGAAAACATATGCTCATCCAATTTTTATATTTAAATAACATTTAAACTTTACCAAATAATAGAAAATATTTACCTGAGTTCTAAGCAATTAGTAAATCCACCGTAACTTTAAGTCCCAAAAAAAGTCCATTTTGTGACCTCTATATTAAATGATTTTACCTCCAAAAGATATAATGAAAATTTCTTAGGCTTCCCCATTAGATTAACGTAGTTGCGCTCTAATAACCAATACCATGGTTGGAATGTTCGAACTGGTGTAGTCAGTCATGCTGGGGGGGGGTGGGGGTTAAGTAATTGCAGGTGGGTTGGTCACCAATGCAAACCTTGTAACCATATGTAGAAGATGTTCCCTCCTTCACTTTTGCATCATCATGTAATGCGAGGACACAAATTTTCTGGAAGCCATAGTTAGGTCTACGTACCTCTCTACTACCACAAGTTCTCTCTTCTGATCATGGAAATAATAGGAGAGAGGAGAGGCTGTGAGCAATGCTGCGATGCCAAGGCACAACAGCATGACGACGTACCTATGCTCCAGATCTGTTGGAATCTGCATCTATGACTTGGAGCGAGGTGCCAAGTTGACATCATCCTTGAGGAAGACCTACACACGTCGCTCAGTCTAGTCATAGAACTGAATGGTGCAAGCCATGAAAACATGAAGCGAGCAACATGAGAGGGGAGTGCATCGAGGAAACACCTCGGCTTAGTGGAGTCAACGACAGTCTTTACATGGGGGCAAAGAGAGCATGATAAGGTTATGGAGGAGGGAGGAGGGAAGAGGTGGAGGCGCAACGGGGCAAGGAGGGAGTTGTAGATATAGCATACGAAGGGTCAATAAGAGTTTTGAATATATATATATATATATGAAATATTATAATAAAATATCAAACATCATGATCAGACAAGTATCACATTCTAATGTTGCTCTCTCTATCCAAAATGTGTTCTGCCTAATAGCATAAACTTTTTAATCCCAAATAATACGGATGAGTCAAACTAAAATTAGGCTTATCTATTTCATAATAAATCTCACATGATATTAATAATTTATCATCACAAATAGATATATTTTAGTTAAATGTTATTTGCAAAGGAAGCTCGAACCTAATCGTTTAATAAATTATCTGAACCATTTAAATTAAAAATTAATTTATTAAATTCATTGCTCAGTAATTTATCGAGTCAAGTTATAGTAGATTATATTTAAATTTCTGAGCATCACAAAATATTTGTTATGTATTATTCTTTAATTACTATTATTATTTTTTTCTCTCAAACATGTCAACCAAGTAAGGACTTAAATAGATGATCATAGCATCAAATCCCATCTTTACTGCTTCCCCCATGCTCTTCAAAGTAAAGCAGAGCTTGTATAAGCAGCACCTCTTCTTTGTTGTCTTCTGAAATAGGTTCAAATCAATTTTGCCAAAATTACGTTTAAATCTACAATTTCACTTCAACTCGGCCCAAATTACCCACGAAATTGGGCTCAAATTAATCACAGTTACACTCGAACTCGGCCCAAATCGCTCACGCTAGCCCGGCCGGCTTGTACGGCCAATTTCCAAGCCACGCACCCGCGAAGAGGGGGAAGGCTTCGAGGTCCGGCCGTTCCCTTTCGCAGTCCCCGTCCCTAAATCTCGCCTCCGTGACAGCATCTTAGACGAATTTGCGACCGATCGCAGGTGATTCTTTCTTCGTCATTCCTTTCTCTATTGCGCTCTTGTTTTGGCCGATGACTTGCGTAATCGCATGGACTTTTCCTTGTTTTGTTTCGTACATTTCCCGTTTACAACATCATTTTTGGTCCCTAAATAGTTAATCGGTTGCTTTGTAATTCGATAATATGTTAAGTTGCCGTCGAGAGCATCGAAAAGGGCTTGTCGGCGTCGTACGCGGGAAGATGGGATTTTCTTGGCCTCGAAAGGTCAACAAAGATAGGTTATTTTATGCCGTGTGAGAAGCTATGCATATTTCTTGATTTTAATTTGTGGAGACTAATAGCGTTAGCGATCATGAAGTTCTTTAAGGTGCATTGTTGTGATTGGGATGATTAACCAGTCATTATGCACTTCTTTATTGCTTTCCTGAGGAATGATTTCCACACGTGTTAGGGAATGTCTTATAATCTCAGGAATCGCAAATTCTGGAGTAAATGTTCTAAACGATGACTATATACTCATGTAAATCGTTTATTATGAGGCGTACTTGTACAAGATTCCATGGAGAGGCGTTTACCATATCGCCAAACTTTCTTACACGTATTAAGAAGTTTGTGAGTTAGAGATGACTTATGCTGCTGAGTCCAATGTTTTTAATTTGGGATTGTTTTATTGTTTGACAATTGTCATGATTAATTTGTAAGCAAAAAGTAATAAAAAGGAATTAGATGGAGCTTAGCAAAAGAGACGAAGAAGAGCTATGCTGAAGTATATCGTTTATTTTAATCGATATACTCAATGTAAAT